TTTATCTGTGTTCCCGAGTTTCTATTACATGGATCTCTGTAATGCTCAGCTTTGGGAAGCATCTCTCTCTCTCTCTCTCTCTCTCTGTGTGTGTGTGTGTGTGTATCTGTGAACTCTCTGGAGCTCACCAGAGGGACTCACCTGAGGGCTGGGGAGGCCGAGCCCACTCAATGAAAGGGTGGCGGTGTTGGATGATGGCTCGCTGACACTTCTCCACATCTGCATCCTGTTCAATCATGTCCACAATTTCCTGAATCCATGTTGTCCCTGAGGGTCAGAAGAGAAAGACAAGAAGCAGAAAACTATTAGATAATCTTCTTGAAGTTTCCTGAGGAAAAGGATGAAGGGACATGGAGATTGTTATTGGCTTCAAACTCCTCTGGGTCCAGGATCCTGTTTGCCATGAGAGATGGACGTCCATGTGGGACAGACTTTGGGTCTCTATTCTGAGTGGAGCAGCAAAGGAAAAGCTCACAATCACCCAAGAGCAGGGCATGGCTGAGCACAGTAGGTGGGGCCTCCAGCACTGCTATGCTGCGCCCCTTCCGGGAATCCAGGGATGCCAGCCATCCAAGCCTAAGCCCCCTCCTAGAACAGCAAGGAGCACGTCTTCCATCCTGGGGAATTCTGGCTGATGTGGAAATAGCCTTTCTGACTTAGCAGGGTGAGGTCTCTGCTGTTTCCCTGCCCCACAATCACCTGCTTTAGGGTAAGTACAAATGAGAAGATCGTCCGGCTTGGCCTCAAAGTTCTGGATCTGGCTCCAGTTGTCTACAGTGGTACTCTGCAGGGGGATCCCTGCCACCTCTTTCAGTTGTGATTGTTTTTTCAAATCTGAGGTGAGAGCCATAGTATCTTGTGATGGAGAGTCCTTATGGGAAAAGAAAAGAGCTTTCTTAAAAAAAAATGGTTTTAAAATACACATAACATGAAATTGAACATTTTAGCCATTTTTAATTATATAATTCAGTAGCATTAGTTACTTTCACATTGTTGTGCCCCCATAACTACTACCCACCTTTAGAACATTTTCTTTTTCTTAAATGGAAACACTGTACCCATTAATCACTAACTCCTCATTCCCCATTCTTCAGCCACTGAAAACCACCATTCTACATTCTGTTTCCACAAACACTAGATGTGTTAATTAACTAAAATCATACACTATTTGCCTTTTTGTGAGTGGTCTGTTTAACTTAGCTTAATAGCTTTATGATTAACCCATATTGTGGAATGTTACAGGACTTTCTTCCTTTTCGAAGCTGAATGACAGTCTTTGCTCATGTGCTGTATTTGTTCATCTATTACTTCATCCAGGGATGCTTGGATTGTTTTCTACCTTTTGATTATTGTGATTGATGCTGCTATGAAGTTGGGTATATAAATATCTCTTTGAGTTCCCACTGTTCATACTTTGGGGTAAATACATAGAAATGAAATTCCCAAAATTAAACATATAATGTTTAATTTTAGGAAAAACTTATTGCACCTTGTTCCATAGTGGTTATATCATTTCAAGTTCTTACTTGCAGTACACAGGGTCCAATTTCTCTATATTCTCACCAACTCATGATGTTTTCTGGGTGTATAAAATAGCTATCCTGATGAGGATGAGGTTTTATCTTATTGTGGTTTTGATTTGATGTTGAACTTATTCTCATGAGCTAATTGTTCACTTCTTTGTAGAAATGTCTTTTCAAAGTCTTTGCACATTTTTACATTTGTTGTTGGTTGTTTTGAAAGAAGTTGTATTGAAAACAAGGGTTTTAAATGCACAAAAGGAGGAAGACAGAAGTAGTGGGCCATGTTACTCTTGGGATTTCAGAAGATATTTATTAATACCACTATGAGTGAAATGATAATGGTCAAACCCAGCACTTATCAAACACTTTAATTCGTCATGTGTTAGGCTAAATGCCTGTATAAATTAGTTCTTAGTTCTTGCATAATATGAGTGACAGAACTTTAGAGATTAAAGGGTCCTTACAGAAAATGTAACAGCAAACGATTGTTGGAAGTTGAATAAAAGAAGCTGGTTCAGTGATCCCATAGAATGGGTGAGGGAACTGGCAGCCCAGCTTGGCCAAACCTAGCTTTCAGATTGCCTTTGCCTCTCACAGAGTCAAACCCCACAGCATGGTTTACATCACGAAATGAAAGACAATTGGACAGTTTATGTCTCTCAGTAGAAAACACATTACCTATGAAGTGGTCCTACCACATACATTGAACCCAAATCAGTAAGCAAATATTGGTTTAAAGGCAATTTATGTTAAAATATATCACAACAATGAAATGAAAATGTAGATCAATATATAAGACCAACAATCAATAAATGGAATTGCGTCAAATTAAAAAAACTTCTGCACAGCAAAAGAAACAATTAAGAACAAAAAGAGAGAAGAAAATATTTCTAGCTATTCTTCAAATAGGAGTTTATTATGCAGAATATAGATAGAACTCAAAAAACACCAAACCCCAAAATCGAACAACCCAATCAATAGACAAAAATTAATTAAAAATTAATTTAAAAAATTAATTAAAAGACATTTTTTCAAATGAAGAAATGCAAATGGCCAAAAACTATATGAAAAAAAAATGTTCAATATCCTTAGCATTCATGGAAATGCAAATCAAAACTACAGTCCAATTAGAATGATAATCATCAAAAATATAAATAATAATACATGCTGTTGAGGTTGTGAGGAAAAAGGTATAGTCATATATTGTAGGCGGGACTGTGAATGAGTACATCCACTTTGGAAATCAGTATGGAGAATCCTCAAAAGGCTGGGAACAGACTCACTCTATGACCAAGCTGCTCTACTAGTTGACTTTTATCCAAAATAATTAAGATCAGCATATTATAGAAATATATCCACACAAATGTTTATAGAAGCACAATTTACAAGCCAAGTTATGGAACCAGTCCAGGTACCTGTCAATAGATGAATGGATAAAGAAAATGTGATCTATCTATCTATCTATCTATCTATCCATCCATCCATCCATCTGTCTATTCACACACACACATACATAAAAACAATTGAATTTTACTTAACCATAAATGAAAATGAATTATATCATTTGCTGGTAAATGGACAGAACTGGAGAACCTCTAGCTGAGGGAAATAAGCCAGACTCAGAAAGTCAAGGATCAAAAATTTTCTCTTACATGCAAAATCTAGAGAGAAATAAGCAACTAAAGAAGGGAGAATCTCATGAAAATAGAAGGGAGTACAGTGGAATAGAGGAAGGGAAATTAGGAAAGGGGAGTAACAACAGAATAAAATTAACCCAACTATGTCATGTGCACATATGAATGTATCAAAATGAATTTTACTTTTATGTATAATTATAATGCACCAATTAAAATAAATCAATTAAAAATGTAAACTACATGAAAGTCTACAGGACAATAATAAACTTACTTCAAATAAATGACAAGACATTTGAAAAAAAAATAAAGAGGAGTGAATATATTTTTTAAAACCACCTAAAAGGACATATTAAAGAAAAGACATGCACAGGAATGTTCACTTAGGTGATTAGACTTTGAAGAAGTCTAAAGAAGGGGGCAGAGGATGTAGCTCAGTGGTATAGCACTTGCCTAGTATGCAGGAGACCCCAGGTTTAACCTCCAGCACTGCACAAAAGAAAAAAAAGAGTAAAACAATAATAAAAAAGTAAACAAAAAAGAACTTTTAAAAAAGGAAGTGATTATCTTAAGTGTCAAGACAGTGGCCACTTCTAAAAAGTTAGAGGACAGAGCAAATGGGGGCTTCTTTTTAAGCTGGCAAGTTTTTATAATATACTGTCCTGGGTGCCAGATACAAGGATGTTTGCTTTATATTCATGTATTAAACTGTGCATTACCGTATTAGAATAGAAATCTAGATAATATCATGGGAAGGGACTGGCACATTCAGACAGAGAAGCAGGTGAAGGCTGTATTAGTCAGCTTGTGTTTTTATTGTAAACTACCTAAGTTAGGTTACTTATAAAGAGGTTTTCTTAGCTTACAGCTCTGGAGGCTGGAAGTCCAAACAACACTGGACAGGCCCTTGCAAGGGTCCACTCAGGTGTAACATACCATAGGGGAAGTATATGTGTATTTCCTGTGTGGTCTCTCTACCTCTCTGAAATTTGATTGTGGGGACTCCATCTTAAGGACCCTAAACTAATCTGATCACTTCCCAAAGGCCCTGCCTCTAAACACTATAGTAAGATAAAGTTTCCACCTTTTTAATATTATACATAATAGTTTGGAGATCAAACTCCTGCATGAGTTGGGGGTGGAGGTGAGGGTTAGGGGACACACCACATTCAAACTTTATCAAAGGATCAAAGGAACAAGGAATCAAGGTATCTTCATGTTAAATAATTTCTAGAGCTTAGAGCTTTAGGGTGGGGAGTGTATAGAAATGAGCATGGATGATGTTACAAGGGCCTTTCAGGGTATGCTTTTATTCTAAGGGCAATAGGATGTCACCAAATAGGGTGAAGCTGGAGACTGCCCAAGGTGACATGTTGCACTTTAGAAAGGTCACACTGGGTGGGGTACTGGAAGGATTGGAATGGAACCCAGTGGGAGAATTCTGCAGCACTTCAGGTGGAGTTGGTGATCATATCTTTGCTTAGTACTGTGGCAGAGGGGACAAGAAGAAGTAAGCAGACTTAAGAGATCTTAATGATTAATGTGAGGTGAAGGGGCGGTGGGGGGAAAGTCAAGCTTGTGAACAGATTTCTGATGGGGTTAGCTGGGGAGTCAGAGAATTTGTTGCGAATGGGAGCATTGGAGGGGAGCAGTTTTTGCATGGTTCAATTTGAGGGGGAATCTGAGCTGCCTGTGGGTCCTCTATATCTGGAACCCTTAGGCAGGTGTGAAGGTGGGTCTAGAGCTCTGGCCTGGGGATGGAGATTTGAGAATCATTCAGTCAACACATTGTCTAACCCTGCTGGGAAAATCGTGAGTGAGGCAGGTGCTGAGGGCTGAGGTGTGGGAGGAGAGCGTGAGAGTCAAGAGGCACTTAGTTCTTAACTGCATTAGACTTATGAATTATGACTTTATATGATGAAATAGCCATATGCATTCAGTAGAAATATTACTTTGAATTTTGAATGTGAATCATTTCCCAGGATTACAGTATGTGGTAAAATCCTCTCATGATGCTGGACAATGGCAAAGAGCCGCAAGTCCCAGCCAACCCCATGATCACAAGAGGAATCAGCTGACACTCTACAGTGCGCTGTGTTGCTGAGCTAGGATGGTTTGGAGGTAGGTTTTATCAATGCATTTTAATCTATTATATTTTCAATTTATGATAGACTTATCAAGATATAACCCCATCATAAGTCAGCATCTGTGTATGGAAGGGCACCTGGAGCTCAACAGGCCACAATATGCAGGGTGCTGACAAACATGGCTGTCTGAGGACTAGGGAAGTTAAAGATGGGGCTGTCTAATGTGCTGTCATCCCCATGCCCTTACTGTGTTGGAGGCAGTCACAGGGTGTGGTGGAACCTGACTGAAGCTCAGGAAAGGGGGTTCAACAGGAGTGTGGAGAAAGCTGAGTAGTGCTGGGGAGCAGAGGGCCATGCCATGGAAGGAATTTCCGGCCCTTTTCACCTTCCCTCAGATCCCTTGCTAGGCTGCAGAAGCACTGTCAGAGGAGAGAATATTTCAGGGAGAAAGTTTAGGGAGTAATTACCTAAATTTCTAGATCAAGCAGTTTGACTGGTATCTATCACACACACCTTTCATGCCATTGTTTTCAGTTTCCTTAGGACCTGGCTTGAGTTAACCTATTTGGTAACACCTACATGGCACAAGATGAAAAAATACAATGAGGTAAGTACAGCATTTCTTTTGAGCCATATTCTTACCTTCAAGCTCCAGTAGAGAGTCAGCAGCCTTAAGACCTGAGCAAGGGTCAGTAGGCACAGGAATTACATTCCAAGGGAAAGGGTGGTGTTCCCTGGCTATGGCAATCACAGAGGCTCAAATTACCTCTGTGCTGCAGCTGAATGACCTTCAGCAGGTAGAGGCACTTGGGGAGGCTCTCCTATTGGTGTGGTACATTACAGTCACTACTGAAAGAGTCTGGCTGTATAGGGAAAAAACTCTGTTGTCACCTGCCTGACAAAGAATCACCTTTGATTGTACAGTGCTCACTTAACTGTGGCCTTGACTACTCTGCAAATTTCAGCTTTCTTGAGCTGAAAACTCCAGGCTGTCTGGAGGAATGTCTGGCAGCAGCACACCCCTCCTTTTTTTCTATGACCTCCCAGTGACGGCACCTGTGGGCGCCCACAGTTCTGCAGCAGAAGCCAGCACTTCATGGCTCTGGCTCCTCCCTCCAGGATTCTCAGAGAGGCAGAGAATCCACAATGGGCAGGGCCTGGAGTGTAGCCAGGCTATGCTTCAGAGAAAACAGGCACATGGCTTCCAGGTCCTCTCCTTTCTGGTCAGGGTCTGTGTGTGCCTGAGCACCCAGCCCTTGTTAATCATTTAAACCAGCAGCCCAAAGTTGATTTATCTGACTCTCTCCTCCCGCTTCAGTGCTGATGCTGCCATGATGTACCGAATCAACAGATTACCAGCCACCTGGTTTTATCATCATTTCCTAACCTGAATCCCCTTCTTTTCCCTTTAGCTAAAGATAAAGGGGGCTTAAAACCTGTGTGAAGAGTGGGTTTACAGGGTGCTAGTCCATTATCTTCAGTTTTGCTAGCTTACCAAGTAAATCTTTTTCCTTGCCCCAACAATTTGTCCTCAATTCATTTGACCCTTTTATAAGTGGTGAGTAAATAGACTTGGGTTCATTAATGGGGGGAAATGAAAGAGCTCCAAATAAGTTCCTGCTCCTTTGGTGATTTCTTTAGCCCAAGGTTCACTTTCTGAATCTATGAAATGTAGGAAATGGGGCTAGGATTGTGGCTGGGCAATGGAGCGCTCGCCTAGCACGGGCGGGACCTGGGTACGATCCTAAGCACCACATAAAAAATAAAGGCATTGTGTTGTGTCCATCTACACCTAAAAAAATGAAGGAAATGGTGATTGTCTCCAATTGTTGCTTTAAGCTTAAAAACAATAATGAAAACATCTTTCCTAGCCCATACTGCTTACAAATGTTGGTTCTCCTTTTCTTTCTCCTTGAACAGTATTCATCAACACCTATATGCAGAAAAGATACAGCAAAAATCTAGAGTTTAGATATACATTTATTTAACCTTGCCTTATCTTTTAAAAGGCATGCAGTTATGAAGACAGATTATATTTTTGGTGACGTAGGCTACCTGGAAAATCAAACTGGCCATGCATTAAATACTCACTGACTGCTACTCTTCTGTCAACTCCCAACCTTGTTCTGACCTAGTGATTTCTTTCTGGAATTTAAGTGTAACTGAGAGAAGGATTTAGGATTAAAAGAAAGATACACCAAGTCTCAAAGGTACACCGATTCTCACATCTGTGAGCCATTGAAATGCTGAGTGCACTCAGGAATAGTTGTAATTCTTGAACAACATGCCCTTGGCCCTCATCCTTGTAAAATGAGGGAAATTGTCAAGCACAAGAAAAACTTATGCAAAATTATGTGCTTGTTCCCTGGCTCCACCTCTAGTCCAGCCCCTAGCATAGGCCTCCTATAAATATTAATAACCCACTCCAATAGATTGCTTATTTCCCTCTGGATATAGCCTGCAGTCTCTCTTGGATGTGTATTCTTTGCTTTACCTCAAAGACATCTCTCTTGAGATTGCCCCCATTCTCCCTTGAATGTGTATCTATTTTCCCAAATAAACCTCTGTCTATAACTTTATTTGGCATGTGCTGAAATTCTTTTCCATTATGTATGCCACTGGTGCTGAGTCAGGTTCCCCCTTCCCTCTAGAAATCCTTGGACTCTTCCAGAGAATCTATTCTCCTATGATGTAACTGTGCACCTAGCTGCCTGTCCTGCCAAAGTTTGACATCTTTGACCCTGTACTGACATCAGACATCTCTTTTCCTCTCCTTTTCCAAAGGGGATTTTCTGTGTTTAATTGCAATCTATTTTTTCTTCTACTCTCTTCCCAATTCCCTTATTCCAGTGCTGTCAACACTCAACCTCATTTGATTGACTCAAAAGTTCTTAGGGCTAACTCATGATCTTTCTCTGCAGTTCAAATACCTCGTGTCCAATTGTGTAGATGTCTGCAATACCAGAGCCACTTGAACGCATGCCACCCCCCTCTTACCTCATTCCCTTGCCCCATTTCCTTTCAGGTCCTGGGGCTGCCATCTTTCACACCTGAAGCATTACCTTGGGTTCCTTGACCTATCTAACAATATCTTTTATCATCACATGTTTATTGAGGACAACTGTAAATAAGAAATAAACCATAAAAAGAACTCAAAATGCTTAACACCAATAAAACCCCACAAATAACCCAATCACTAAATAGACTAAGGAACGGAACACATACTACACAGAAGAAGAAATATAATCGATCAACAAATATATGAAAAAATATTCAACATCTCTAGCAATTACTGAAATGCAAACCAAAACTACATTGAGATTTCATCTCTCTCCAGTGAGAATGGCAATATCAAGATTATAAGCATCAGTAAAGTTGATGAGGATGTGGGGGAAAAGGTAAACTCATACATTGCTGGTGGGGCTGCAAATTGGTGTAATTTGGGAAAGCAGTATGGAGATTCCTCAGAAAACTTGGAATGGAACCATCATTTGACCCAGCTACCCCACTCCTTGGTTTATACCCAAAGGACTTAAGATCAGAATACTACAGTGATGCAGCCACATCCATGTTTATAGCAGCTCAATTTCCAACAGCTAAACTATTGAACCAACCTAGATGGCCTTCAACAGGTGAATGAATAAAGAAACTGTGGTGTATATACAGAATAGAATATTCCTCTGTCTTAAAGAACAACAAAATTATGGCATTTGCAGATAAATGGATGGAGCTGGAGAATATTATTGTAAGCAAAATAAGCCAATCCCAAAGAACCAAAAGCCAAATATTTTCTCTGATATGTGGATGTTAATTCACAATAAGGGAGGAGGCTCTAGGGGAAAATAGAGCTACTTTGGATTAGACAGATAGAAATGAAAGGAGGGAGGGGGTATGGGTGTAGAAAAGAAAGTAGAATGAATTGCACATTATTACCCTATGTGCATATATGATTACATGACCAGTGCAAATGTATATCATGTGCAACCAGGAAAATGAGAAGTCAAAACTCCATTTATGTATCATGTGTCAAAATGCATTCTACTGTAATGTATTACTAATTAAAACAAAATTTAAAAATAAAATAAACCCATAGTTTTTAAAATCCCAGAATTTATAGTTTTAAGTAGAGCTCTGGTTGCTCCCTCTGCATTCATATCAGTGAACTGGGATATTGCAAAACCTTCTATCAGCTCTCCTTTTCCCCAGTCTCTTTCCTCTGATTTTTACCGTGTTCATCGTATAAATTAGCTCAGTCCAGAGCAGTTACTTCTCATCCTGTATGGCCCAAAGTCTGGTGCTTCCACCTTAATTCAAGGTCTTCTTTAAGATGACACCATCCGTGGCTGAACTTAGTGTTCCCTGGAGTCATCTTGCAATTTCCTACCTCTTCGCTTCAGTCCTGTTATTCTCCCTATCCAAAATATTCTTAATCAAATTTTATAGAGTCGAATGTATCAGCTTTAAAATCAAATTTTACTTGAAGCCTTTCTCAGATTCTATCTGAAAGTAAACTGTGCTACAAACTAGCTCTTATTTCTTTAAGAAATCACAGTTTTATTGAGGTCTAATTCACATCACCCATTTAAAATAGTTTTAGTTGTAAAACTAAAAGTAGTGTAACCATCACTGCAATCAATTTTAGAGCATTTTTGTGCGCACTCGCACACACACACACATACACACACAAAGTAAGGAGGAGGAGGAGGAGGAAGATAAGGAGGAGAATAAGAAAGGGGAGGAGGAGGAGGAGGAACAGGAGGAGGTGGCACAAACCCTGCACCATTTAATGGTTACCCTTCATTGCCCCTATTCGTCAACCTTAGGTAGCCACTAATTTATTTTGTATGTCAATTGACTCGTTTACTGTGAATATTTTATGCATACAAATATAAGTGGAATCATACAGTATGTAGCCTACATATGCTATTACTTGAATGTGTCCCCCAAAGTTTATGTGTTTGAAATGTAATCCCCAGTGCAACAGTTTTGAGAGGTGCGATCTTTAAGTGATTAAGTCTCAATAAGTTGTTATCACAACACTATTGTGCATTGTGAAAGTAAAGTTCACCCCCTCTTGCTCTCACATCATGTGATGCCTTCTGCCATGTTATCCCACCACAGGAAAGTCCTCTCTAGTTGTGAGCCCTCGAACTTGGATTTCCATACCTCCAGAGCCATAAAAATATATCTCTATTCTTTACAAATTGCTAGTCTCAGGTATTCTATAATACTAGCACAAAATAGAATAAGATAGCATGTGTAATTTGCCTTTCTTTAATAGCAGTTCCCTCTTTTATTTTAAAGAGAAAATCAACTAACTGCCCAATGCCCCCAGTTTTTCTTAGCTATGCTATTAAAACTTAGGTGGGACTAGATTTAGGGCTCTCTCTCTCTCTCTCTCTCTCTCTCTCTCTCTCTCTCTCTCTCTCTCTCTCTCCCCTCCCTCCCTCCATCCATCCCTTCCTCCCTCCCTTTCTCTGTTCCCTGACTATCAAGAAACGAGCAGTTTCTTCCACCATACACTCCTGATAAAATGTATTGGCTCACTCCAACCCAATAGATTATGGATTGAAAGCTCTGAAACTGAGGCAATATAGCCTTTTCTCT